TCGTCAGAATTTCGACAGGTTATTTACTAATAGTTTATTATAATTTCGACAAAATTTAGACAGTCACTAAGGGATTTCGGCAAGCAATCTTACAAGCGCGTAATTTCAGTGATACATCGATCAGTGAGACATATGCATGAATTAAGACTCAGATGTTGTAATTTTGGAGAAAATCTCAAAATTTCTATAATTGGTATATTAGTGAAACCCTTACTTTTATCAAGAATAAGAGTGCGTATATCTGGGCACAAGCGTAGAATTGTACTAATCAATGCATCTGAGATTTTTAAACCTTCTAACTTGAGATATACCATCTTTGAACAATAGAGAGGTTTTGTCTTTCCACACATAACTCTTTTAAACTTCATTAATCGCCAATAAAGAGGTCCAGATGTATTTTTTTTACACTGATCCTGCTGATAATCTTCTATAGAAAACTCAATGCGACACCATAGAATAGGAGCACTGCAGTGATACCAAAACCAATTAACAAACAAAGCAGGATAGAGGGATCGATCAATTTCTAAAAAATATAAGATCTGTTCTAGTAATTCCGGTAAATCAAAAATACTTAGACCCTTTGGGGAATCAGAGATTCGATGCTTTGCATCATCATTGCTCCGCAATAGTTGCACCATTCTCAAGAATATATATATATTATATATCTTTAATCGAAAAAACCAATACTTGGATAATTAATTTAGGTATATATATTATTTATTTTCTGGATATTCTCAACCACGCTTAACTTTGCAACCAGCTCATCTAATGATCTAATGATAGGTCTGTTCCGCAACAGAGTATAATTGATTCTTTCTCTGATAATATTTTTTTATGTGTATATAAATGATTAAAAGATTAAGATCAGGTGCTACACAATTATCACCCGAAGCAATTAGTGATATAATTACTGCTAAGGATTCAGCAAATACATTACGGAATCTAGCTAAAAAATATAATGTATCATATGAACGAATTCGTGAAATATGGGAATTCGCTATTGTGATAAATAATTAATAATTATTGTATTATGAAATATGCAATGCAACATTGTACAAAATTTTAAGCATATATGATATGGATAAAAAAATCCGGATTTCTCTTCACCAATTACTGGAAATAGTGAAATCTAAGATATTATAAATGCGATAATAAACCCAAGTATTGTTAAACAATGATATAAGATAGCCAGAAAAAAGATCATTCTTAGTGATTCTTCATCTTCATCCTCAACTGAATCAGGCTCTGAATATTCTAGCATCGATGAGAGTGAAATACGTACACAAGTTCTTGAAGCAAAGAAGTGTAGTTAGTAAACATATCACATCTGACGATTAATAACTAATTATATCACTAATCTAGATATTCCTATATAAGTCATAGATGTCCTCAATTTCAGATGTAGAAGTATTTTTATTGCTGAGCAATGAGACTTCACCTTTATCAATTGGTTTAGTTATAAAAGCTTGAGTTTCAGGTTCAGGCTCTAGATCTGAGTCAAGATCAGAATTGGAAGTATCACCCTCAGCATAATACATTCCAGAATCATGATGATCCATCTTATGCCTCATTGCAATCCTGCTGAGGAAAACGAGATGTTGTGAAGTTGAATTTTGATCACCATGAACTCTAGAAGCATGTTTACCTCCAATTTTTCTTAATCTTTTAGCTGTAATACCATATGGCTTTAAAAATTTACTAAATACACTTGTACTATGTTTTCCATTAATACTATAGACAGGATCACGCAACTTTCCAATCGCTATTGCATTTTGAATTCAGGTAAACAATTCTCTTGCACATTCTGAATTCTTTTCCATGGATAGAAACGGTCAGGGTTCAGAATTATTTTTTGCTTCTCCTTTATTTTTAATATACCTAGTACAATACCAAGAGTAATCAGGATTATACCATTCCAGAGGATTTGATTCGTCAGGCTCATAATGGATAATGTGAAGAGTAATTACTTCAGCGAGTCTCATGCTCAACATCATGATCATATCTGCGAGATCTTGTAGAGTGAGGGTCTCAGTGATACAGATATTCTGAAGTCTTCTAAGCCTCTCTTCTAAGGAGAAGTGTTTAGGCATTTTAGGTCGACTGATTAATCCCCGTTCAAGTTTTCTCTTCTGAATTTTGTTAGAAGCTTGAGTAATATTTGGTAATTTGGCATATGTATTAATTGGCTCAGGATCGACTCCAGCTTCTGCTAATTCTTTACGAAATTGTGATAGATAGGAACTGGCCGCTACAATTGCCTCATCTGTATTATTTTTGGGAACAGCTAAGTCTAAAGCATGTAACCAAATATCCCACACATCTCCAGTTTTTGCACAATATTGAGCTCTTTCCTTGATAGTGAGTTTTTTCCCCCTTTTGTCTGGTACAAGAGCTTCTATTTGATTGTCTTTGAATAGACGCCAGTGAAGAGCTTCTTACACATCTTTACGAGCCTTCCAATCTGATAGTATAGTACCAAGCTTATTGGCATGAGCACGTAATTGAAGCAGGTTTGATTCGGCCAATAGGTTATATTTATTGAGAATCTGATCCAAAATGGAGGTAAAGCTATTAGTTTTGAATTTTCTAGTTTTTCGAATAGTTGTCATGATAAGTATGTAAATAATATATATCGATAAGTAGATTGTAATTATACATTAACCTATTTATTTTTTCAATTCAAAATTAATTATCTTGGGTCAATATATCTATACCCAAAATTGAATGGACCATGGTTATTGTAATTCTATTAGAAAATGAATGCGAACAAGACACGAGTTCAATCAAGGTATTTCACCTAATCCATTCTCATGATTGTATTTTTTAAGTAATTTGGTCTGCCTTTTTTTATGATAGTTTGATTTGTTGCGATATTTTCTAGCATGTTTAACACACATATCATATATAGAAGCAGTTGGTATACCACACTCTTTACAAGGATTACGTAATTGCATTTTTTAATGAAGAGCACAACCCTCTTGTCGGTAACAACCTTTTCCACAAATTTGATCATCAATATAAATATGTGGGCAAGAATAGAATGCCATCACTAATAACAATAACTTTCAAATTTTGCTTATATGAAATAATTATTTTTCGAATTAAACTTTTTATGTCGCTTTTATTATAAGTTACTAAATCAACGCATTATATACTTTTTGTCAGATCAAACAACGCATATATACAAACAACATATATACAAATCAATAAAATGAGTTTACCTAGTGAAGCAAAAAAATGTCTTCATGAATCGTTACAGCAACAGTGCTTAAATCAAAAGTTCACCAAATATAATGAAGCAAAAAGGCTTTTTATGGATTTAACGGATCTTGACTATAAACCTGATCATAGAAAACATATATTTTATAAATACTGGCTCGCATCCAGGCCTGAAGGGGTGACCCTAAAGGGTCATGGCCATACTGATAAAAATGATACTGCGCTTTTAGATGCATATCAACCTGAAGAGATTCATTTTCAATATATAATTCGGATGGCAGAAAAAGGTTATACAGTGATCAATCATCCCTCTGAAGTTTATAGAATACCTAATATCCACGAATGTATTGATACAAACCAACTCCTACGCTTAATTATTAATATTGATGCAAGACAAAAACCTGATCCAAATAATCCTAAACATGATTCTTTAGATAGTGAAAAAATCACCCGAGAAGATTTGATATCTCAAATTTTAGTCGCTTGTGCAGATACATTATATGTCACATTGGGTTGCATGATATCATTAAATAACTTTGTTTTGGCAAGTTCATCAAATGCTGAGAAATGTAGTTGGTATATTATTTATCCTCGTGCCTGATTTATTGATTATCGAGACCTTAAAGGTTTTGTGGAAAAAGTTATTGAATCAGTTGAAGAATCCTATTCCAAATTTATTGATATTGGACTTTACAAATCCCACTTTAATCTTCGGCTTTTTGGATCAGCAAAAGAAGGACGTATCAAAAGATCAGCTATTTCCTCCGTTAAAAATGGATTTCAAAAATTAGAAGATTATTTGGTTCAACCAAAATCTGATTATTCTGTGATCTGGCCACAGACTTTTTCAGAAGAAAAACCAACAGAAGAGGAATTCAAACCTATTGATGATGAAGATGCTATGGTTAAAGGAGCTAATCTAATTATTGCGAAATTTGGGTGGCTTCAGATTGGAAGAATCGAGAAAGAGTTTGTTAACTTTCAATCACAATCGATAAAAGAATGCCCTATATATGACATTAAACATGATCAGGATCAACTCTATGAATTTATTCAAAAAAATGGAGATTTCGTACTTAAATGCTATCGCCAAAAACAATATAAGCCGGAGCATAAGGAGTTGAGCTTTGGTAAGGTATCAGACAAAGTCGAATCAGAAGTAAAGTCTAAAAAGTGGATATTATGTGAAAGATTACCCAAGGCTCTATCAACTCCACGTCAATTTCTCGAATTACCTGGAAAAAGTATTAATGTAAAAGAAATGGAGGATGCTCTAGATGCTTTTCCAGACTTTTTAAATGAAGAGCCTAGTATTACTCTTATTCGTTCTACTGTAGGTACTGGGAAAACTAAAACATTAAGAAAAATTTTGGCATCTTTAGCTCAAAGTGGTGCTAATTTACCTTGTACTATCTGGGTTTCATATCGCAAAACCCTTAGTAATGAATCTGAAGCTAAACTTAAAGAATTGGA